ATGATGTTGTTATTATTTTCAATGTTTACATTAGTATGAGTTTCCACGGAGCACAGTGCCATAGTGCTCATTTCCCACTGTTATCGTGTTTTTCAGGTCAGGACGTCGGGCTGGGAGCGTGAGATGACGAAGGCTTCAGGACTTTTATGTTTTGATTGTGTATATATTATGACGATTTACGTTTCCGCTGACGATGGTTTTGATGAACTTATATTTTTACCGGACTTTTGGAAAACTTTATGCTTTCAGTAACAGTATGATTTTATTAAAAATTAAGATAACGGTTTTCCAAATTAAGTCACGGTTTTACGGTAGCACTCCAAATCAGTTTTCGCAAAGTAAAAGATTTTATTTTTAAATAACTTTGCGAAATTTTCGCACTCTGATTTTACAATAAGGCTGGGTGTTACAGAGGAACCTGATCGGCGAAGAGGGCCTAGTGAACTACAAGGTGAGTCTCATTCTTTATCTGAAGAGAATAGCGGTCAGGGGCAACACACTCGTTTTCAAGGGTTGTCAAAGAGAAAAATCAGACCTAGTGTTTATATGGATGATGGGATCCTCCGTCGATTGGGGATGTTGGAAGATGTGATGAGTTTATTCGATACCCAAGGATGGTCCAAGTTCATGACGGGGTGTTTCCCGACTTACACCGAGTTGACACTCAAATTTTTAAGCTCTCTGCATGTCAAGTTCAATGACAGTAAAGCCGGTGGGGTGATTCGGTTTCATATGGGAAGAAAAGAGTACAATTGGAGCCTGATACAAGTTGATCGAGTTTTGGGGTTTGTGTCTGGGGTCTACGAGGAATGCCGGAAGGGTTCAGTCATACAGATTTTTGGCACAGTATTACAGTGGAAGATGACCCCTATCAGGCGAGAAGTGCGAAAGCTACCTCGATTCGCAACCCGACACTTCGTTATGTACAGCGGGTGATGACTGGGACCATCTTTGCTCGACAGGAGAGTAGCAATGTAGTGCGCCAGACGGAGCTAGAGTTCTTGTGGGCTA